CTTGTTAAATCCAAAATTGTGTAACCAATTGAAGAATGTTACAACACGCATGTATATTCTAATTTAATAACCATGTGGTGTATATATGTACTGGATACATCATAATCATTTCATGTTACAAATATGTGTAACATTATGTTTACATGGTACAAAATTGTGGCAACATGATCAATCATTTACACTATACACGACACAAATGTATGATTTTTTTTACTCAAATATTGTAAATCATGAATATCTATACTTTAATCTAAATGTTACCATTATATTAACATTAACATTATGATAATAACTTAGTTCATAATGCATGGCTGTCTCCAGGTTGGAAGAGGATATTTTTTTCAAAATAGCGCCAATATTTGTATACTAAGGCCCCAAAAAGTGGACCTTTCTGCTAAAATAAAAAACTTGTTTCCATGAATTCAAATACTCATACAGTACCGTGGGAAAGATCAAAAGAAGGGACTCTGTGACTTCTTAAGCATTGCATTACAGGTCAATGAAAAAGGGTTGCATACCAAAAATTTGGAGTCAATCAAACTTAAAAGGACCAAGTAAGGCTCTGGACAAGCCTATTTAGTATGAAAATCATCAAAGGCCAATTTAACTAAAAAACCATGGAGTACAGAGTACCGATTCTTGTGCAATGCACTTCTTCTCCATGAGATCTATATTTATGAAGTTTCAAATCGAAACTTTTATAGTTTTGGGAAAAGGGCCGGACAAAAAAAAATATGTGAATTAAAAAAGGCAATAACTCAAAGTAAAATGCAGTAACTAGTTCTTAAACTGCATTTCTTTTTTAAAAAGATCTATCTCAAAGAAAATTAAGGGCAAAAATTTTTGTCAAAAACCGTTTACTAAAGTTATTGAACAGTGACCCATTATGCATTCAAAAATGTGCCTAAAGTTTCCAAACTCCATCTGTAGTTATGGAATAACCCTAATGCAAAAAATTAACCTAAAATTTTAAATTTAAAAGGGGGTAAAATGCAAAAAGGGAAAACGAGTTTCAACTTGTGCTTATCACAAGTGACCCCAAAAAATCAAGATCTCAACTTATTTCCTTCACTTTCCGTTTTGTTTCTAACTTTAAAAAGAAATTCAATCAGTTGAAACAAAAATTTCATTGGTAAATGAGTGCTTCCCTATTCTTTTTAATAGTTCAGCTTAAATGTTTCTAGTATTTTTGAAAAACAAGTGAGCCAAAGATTGAAAAATTTTATAATAAATTTTTAAAAAAAATTTTTTTCAAAAAATTTTTTAAAAAACTTGAAAAAAACAATTCCTTTCCCATCTTTTCAAAAAAATTTCAAGAAAATCCCTTTCACTTAATTTATTATATTAAATAAAAAGATAAAATTTATACATCAAACGTTTTATAATTAGAGAAAAAATAAACCTTTTATATTTTCAAAAATAAAAAAAAATAAAGAAAGGAAATTTTAAAAAAAAAAAGAAAAGTTTTCATTCAATGAAAAAAAAGTCCATTTTTTTCCCCAATGTTATAATCCTTTATATATCCCCGGTAATATAAAAATTTGTTCCCCCTGTCCTTTTATTATAACTAATTTTATAAACCTTTTTTTATTTTAATCATAACTAGTAACGGTATTTTATTACCATATCCTTTTTTATATCATTAACTGGGACTTAAAAAACCTTCAATTTCCTTTATATATAAAATGGTATTATTTATATGTATACCATCCTCGAAAAAATTGGCCCCTGTCACGACAAAACCAAATAGTGGGTTTTCGACCCCCTGGGTCCGACAGCTGCGATCCGCCCCGTCTGCGGGTCCCCTGCTGTTCGCTGAATTTTTTAACTGTTTTGGGGCTTAGCGAACGCGTGGATCCTGTCAGACTGTGCGGATGCCCCGGTGGTCGGATCCTTTCTTTGGGCGCAAACCCCTTATGTTGGTTTTTTCCCCGGGCGGGCTATATATTATAAAATGGTTTTTTTTATACCATCCCCCTTTCTATGATAATATAACTGGTATTCATATAGACCATTTCCTTATCTTTAATATATCATATAAATGGTATTCAATAAATACCATTCACTAGTCCTAATATTTCATATAACTGTATTAATAATTACATTCCCTTGTCTTATATATCAAATAAACTTTGTATTTGCATGTTTACATTAATCTTTTTCTTTTCTGAACCTCTTGTACATTAAACAATTTGTTTTAGATAATTTCCATTAAATTTTCTTTAAATTTTTTTTACACTTTTTATTTACATATCTATTTTGTATTTAACATGTATAATTAAGAACATTACTTTTTTTTTCAAATCAGTTTTTTTCTCTCACAAACTATCCCCTTGATCTTTTAAAAAATAACCTTTACCTTACTAAGATCAATATATCTTATTATATTTCACTGCATTTCTTTCAATTAATCTATCATCAAAACCCCAACAATTGAATGTTACTTTTTCAATTTTATAAATGTACTTTTGTTAAAATGACCAGAAATCAAAATTAAAAAATTAATTTTGATGATTTTATTCTTCAAAAACCTTTATTCATTTTTAATTAAGTTTTGTAAAAATTTAACTTTCTTTGTTCATTTTTTTTTTAAAAAAAAAGAAATAAATTTATTCCTTTAAAAAAAAAATATTCAAATTTAAAAAACTAGTTAAATGCAAGTTTTCCAATATTTAAAAAATTAAACCCTATTTTTTTTAAAAAGAAAAAAAACAATTTTCCCCCTTTTAAAATGGACTAATTAAATTTAACAACTATGTTAACGTCATGTTCTTTAAATTTTTTTTGTTAAAATAATCTTGTTTTAAAAATGTAAAAACATGTATCTCATTTTTGTTTAAAACCCCAAAAGATATTTTTTCCCCTTTAAAGAAAAAATGTTCTATTTTTTAAAAACTGTATTGCATTATTTCCCCTTTCTCCTTTTGTCCCTTGATGCCAATGTTAAAAATATAAACTTACCTCTTCCCACTCCTGTTTATAACACAAAAAAACAATCACATCTACCATATGGGGAAACTAGCGAATACTATCCAACAAACTCTGCCATTTGTCAAACCATATTTACATCGAACACAGTAATGTCTTTAAACCTTCACCTAAAGTAAACTGTATATATTGTCATAAACCTTACACTCAGAATCAGCTACGAAGTGTGTAACAATGAAAAAGTGACTATCTCTCTGTTAGTTTGGCAAATAAAAAAGAGATTTACTTAACACATCACCATCAACACAATCTTTAATTAAATTTTTGAAATATCAAATATCTCATAATTACTACTTCAAATTCCCAATTCAAATCATTTCAAGTTTGTAGTTCAACACTATCACATTAACAGTAAAGATAAATAAAGTAAATGAAGTTGATTGATGTTGAAAATTTACATCATGCTGCTTTCATACACTCATAATCAACATAGCTAAGATGTATTTGTTCAAAGATGTCTGGTATCTCAAGAAAATCACAGAATGTACGTAAGTCATCATCAATGACCTCATTCGGTATATAAACTCATTCGTTATTGCTAAAGATTGACCATACTAGGTAGGTTAGCTAACAACTGTTTTATTCAGTGGGTAAATACATGTTAGTTAGAGGAAATATAAAAGAGACAGAGATTTTAATGTAAAGAGCTTACTTTTATTGTCTCAGAAAGACAATTGATTATTCATCAATCTTCGTTCATTATTCTGTGTACCCCAAACCCCACTGTGTTATGAAAAAAATTTCTAATGTATTGCAAATTTTTCAATATGATAAAAAAATTGGTAAACATATTTGTAAATCTAACATTTCTTTGGTGTTGATGTCATGTACATGTAAATTAATAGACAGAACAGAGTCAGGAAGGATTTGATGCTGATCAATACTTAAACAAACAATATCACAATACTGATTTGAATATATCAATAATCAAAATCTCCTATAAAAACACAGGATTACTTCCTTCACTACATGCTGCATTTAATTCTTCTATTAACTCAATTATAAGCTTTTGAATATCAGTTATACAACAATGAACCATAAGATATTTACTACTTATTGTTCTCCTGTATTCCTGAACACTAGAGTCTTCTGACACAGTATCATATATGTATTTGTAACATGTGTTGCTAATCTAGGTTTCTATACCACATAGCATAATGACAAACATTTGACTGCTCTAATATTGTCATTTTACTGTTGAACATTTTCTGAAAAACCTCATAAATAAACTTTTGGTTAATTCAACATATCCTGTATTACCTGATGAACCAATTTTTGTATTAAAATTAATACCAATGTAGACTGCAGCCAGAAACTCTTGCATTGACTTGTGAATAAAAAGAGAACAATGAACTTGTGGTTCTGATACAGACAAACTTGGACATTCATCTTCTGTAATTATTCAAGTTTCAAGCAAATTTTCTCTTACTCCATCTGATATTTCTAGTTCATCAAACATACAAATGTCAAATGTCAATGACTTATTCTTAGGACAAATTAAATAGAGTCTCAAAAGCCAACTGTGACACTTCATAAATTAAATGTCTGTTTAAACTTAATTTGGTTTATCTGCTAAATACTGAGGGAGGTTTACTTTCTGGTACCCTTCATGAGGCGAGTACTTGTTCCTGTAGTTTTCATGTCATTCCAGGTGAAGAATAATTCTAACATACCGGTGTAGATGGCACATCTGAGGTTTTATCGAGTTTTCCATCAAACCATAGACATATCAGTTTGTTGCAGCATAATTGGTACCTGTTTTGAAACTTTTCAGAGACTTTTCCTTCAGCTTTTCCTACAATCTCTAGCTTCTTTATAGCATGTTTTCTAACATTTAATAGTGAGACTGTCCTATGTACCATTTCCGTTTCACATCTCACATCAAACCCATTCAGTTTAAGTGACTGTTCAATCTCCACATCACTTGATCTTAATGAATGAAATTTCCATGGCCGTGAAGTAGTTACTATTGTGTACTTCTTAAAAAGATGCTATGTTTAGGACATTTTTCAGATGACCATTCATCTAAGCCATCAAGCAAGATAATAACTCTAGAGGATTCTTCTTCAAGAAGTGTGTTTAACATTTTCATTTGATAACGTTGTTGAAGCATTTCATCAATAGTGTTAATGTTTTGATACTGTCTAAGAGGGATGTAAAATAAAAAATAAAATCTTTTCATCTCTTTTACACCATTGAATTTAAGATCATAACTTTTGTCATATTCAAAGTCATTCACTGTCGAATTCAGAGTCTGTCAAGTCACCATCAGAGTCATCACTGTATAATTCAGAGTTTTGCTACATCATCACTTTCATCCTGCATGTCATCACAATCATTTCCATGTTTCTTAATATGGACCATATTTGTTTCATTTTCAATATCTCCTCCATATTCCTCTTTTACCTCTTCATTTACAATGTCACTTTCACGTTCTTTATGTTTCTCATCACCACCTTCATTTTCATTGCCATCTGCATGTTTTTCATGTTCTTCATTGTCACCTCCATGCTTGTCATTGCTACCTTCATTTTTACCGTCATTTCCATATTTCCCACTGCTATCTTCACTTTCTTTTTCATTTTCATGTTTCTTATTATCACCTCCATGTTCTTCATTATCACGTCCATTATCACGTCCATGCTCATTTTTTTTGTCAGCTTCATTTTCATTGCCACCTTCATTTACATTATCTACCCCAGGTTCTTCAATATCACCTTCATTTTCTTGATTTTCACCTCCATGTTCTTCATTGTTGCCTCCATGTTTTTCATTTCTGCCCAAATGCTCCTCATTTTTATAGTCAGCTTCATTTTCATTATCACCTCCATGTCCTTCATTATCACCTACATGTTCTTCATTGTCACCTCCATTGTTCTTCATTATCACCAACATGTTCTTCATTATCACCCTCATTGTCACCTCCATGTTTTTCATTTCCACCCCCATGGTCCTCATTTTCATTGTTAGCTTCTTGTTGCTCACTATGTGCCAACACCAACAGTTGACCAGGTATTTACAAAAACTAGTTTTTCCTGACCCTGCATCTCCTAGAATATACACAGATTTTTGGGGAACGCCATTATATGTGAACATTTCAGACATTGTTTTAACCTCCACTTCCTTTATCTCTCCCTTTTCTTCTTTCATTTCCCTCATAATTTGGGCCTAATATAAATCTCATTAAAGCTACATTTTTTACTTTTTGGTTGTAAAGGTATTGTAGGAACCTGCAGCAGGGTTTTGTCATACTGTTCTATCAGCTCTTTCCGCCATTCTGTAATTTAAATGATAATATGGATTCCAATTGTTATAAATAAATAAATGTGTAAATATTACAGAAACATATTTAAGAAAAGGAATACAGCACCGAAGGCCTCCTTGAATTATAAAGACAAACTAGAAATGTGTCCATAGGACACGGGTGCCCCCACCGTGCCACTGTTCTGTCAATCTTATGACTCTATGTCAAATATTTTTTGAAAACTAAAAATCTTTTACTAAGTAAAGGGCAAGAACTTTACAAATACTGAATAAATCCCAAGGAGCATAAGTACACATGCTGACCAATATTCTTGTAAACTTTCAGGCCTGCAAGTGAAATACTTTTTGGGCTATGCATGAACAAGTTGAAAATTCCAAATTTATACTTCTGTAAGTCAAGGGCAATAACTCTAACAAAACTGAAAAAAGTCCCAGGTACATAGCTTCACAGTGATGTGAATCATTATTCCTGTAATTTAGTGATGCTGATCATTATTCCTGTAAAGTTGGTTGATTCTTACTCAAGCACTCAAGGAACAAATAACAACATAATGAAACGGTTTTAACTAAGTCAAGGGAAATAACTCTACAAATACTGGATAAATCCACAAGCGAAACTAAATATGCTGAGCAACCTTCCCATAAGGTTTGATGACTCTATGTCAAATCCTTTTTGAGTTACATGTGACACAAGCCGAAAATTGCAAAAACTTTCTAACTCAAGGGCAATAACTTTAAAAATACTATATAAATCCAGACGAAAATACCCAGGTGAACAACTACATATGCCGATTAACATTCCTGTAAAGTTTCATGACTCTAGGTCAAATACTTTTTGAGTTACATGCGACACAAGTTGAAAATTGCAAAATTTTACTAAGTCAAGGGCAATAACTCTAAAAATACTAAAACTATCCTCACAAAAATACCCAGGTGCACAACAACACATGCTGATCAACATTCCTGTAAAGTTTCATGACTCTAGGTCAAACAGTTTTTGAGTTACATGCGACACAAGTTGAAAATTGCAAATTTTTTACTTAGTCAAGGGCAATTACTCTAACAAGAACCAACAAAGTTACAGCCAATAATAGCCAAAAAAATGAAAATTTCAATAATTTGACCTTCAAAGTCAAGGTCATTTATGAGTGAAGGTCAAGGTCTGGCTGGTTATTTTTGAGGGATATCCTTGAAGATTATTATGTTCAAGTTTTAAGACAATCCATTCAAAAATAACAAAGTAACAGCCAATAACAGCATGAACAAGCAAACATTGGACTTTTAACCTTGAAGGTCAAGGTCATTTATGGATGAAGGTCAAGGTTAGTGTGGTCTACTGAAAGGTCTTGTCCCAATGGTTGTTGTGGCCAAGTATGAAGACAATACACCAAGAAATAAAAAAGTTATGATCCAGGTACAAGTTTGCGGACGGCAACGGCAACGCCGACCCGACTATAACAATATCTCTACTTTTTTTTTTCAAAAAAAAAAGTCGAGATAAAAACACTAAAATACCCAGAGGAAAATACCCAGGTGCACAACTACTTTTTGAGTTACATGTGACACAAGTTGAAAATTGCAAAATTTTACTAAGTCAAGGGCAATTACTCTAAAAATACTACATATATCCAGACGAAAATACCCAAGTGCACAACTAAACATGCTGATCAACATTCCTGTTAAGTTTCATGACTCTAGGTCAAATAGTTTTTGAGTTACATGCGACACAAGTTGAAAATTGCAAAATTTTACTAAGTCAAGGGCAATTACTCTAAAAATACTACATATATCCAAATGTAAATACCCAGGTGCACAACTACACATGCTGATCAACATTCCTGTAAAGTTTCATGACTCTAGGTCAAATACTTTTTGAGTTACGTACGACACAAAAGAGAACTGACGGACGGAAGGACGGACGGATGGAAGGACGGATGGATGGACGCAAGGACGGACAAGGGTAAATCTAATTGCCCGCCACTAAAGTGGGGGCACAAAAATCAGTCAGACTGAAGCTAGTCAACAAAGAGTACTGTTATACAACATATAAGATTTAGCCTTTTCATATTCTTTACAAAATACCTGATTAAGACTTTTTTATATTCTATACAACATACCTGATTTAGTCTTATCATATTCTATAAAACATACCTGATTTAGCCTTTTTTTATTCTATAAAATATACCTGATTTAGGCTTTACATATTCTATATACCATACCTGATTTAGCCTTTACATATTCTATATAATAAAACTGATTTAGCATTTTCATATTCTATATAACATACATGATTTAGCCTTTTTATAATTATTCTTTATAACATACCTGATTTAGACTTTTTATATTTTATATTTATAACATACCTGATTTAGCCTTTTCATATTCTAGCTGTTTTTGTTTAGGAGAATCTTCTACTTTGAGTCTTTTTATCTCCTACAACATAAATTATCATACAAATAATTCTGTAACAGATTTATACAGTAATTTTCAAACATGCCAATTGTATACTGTAAAATTTGTGGTTTTAGTCAGTCTGTTCAACATACAGTGGCCTAATATATCTCAAGAACATCAAATCAAATGTCCTTCATTGAAAATCAATCTTATTGCAATGGACAATTTCTCTACAAAGAATTTTACATTTTGACATTTTTTGGTGCAATCATACATGTACATAATTTTATTATCAATAATAAATATCTATAAGGCTGTATTGCCATACTTCAAGTTTCATGAAAATATTTTCATACCATATTCACCATACTTTTCATCTATTTTTTGCCATAGCAACCAAATTGTTCAATATTATAGAAAGACAAAAACGTGCGTTATCTCCAGACAGTGACATCTAGTCATATCTTAAGTTTCAAAAAAATATTTCAGTACTTTTTGCGTAATCATGGTATCCAGTTTTGTGGGTGGACATACGAAGGGTAAACCTTTAAAGTCCCCTCTGTAGGTGACTAATAACATTGCTTCAGAGACAGTATCTCTATCAGATACAGAGGATGAAGTACCTCCTGGTTTACCGAGTTCAGATAACAAGTTTATTGATTGATATACTTGTATCATATTTTATAGATCTTTTAGGTTTGTAACTGTCCTGCAAATTCTTACCATGTGACAGTTAAGGACAAATATCACAACCTGTGACCATGGAATTCATATCAAAGAAAGAAGGAAACTAATAAAGTGCCTTGACTTTGATATTTGTATTTATTTGTTGTCCTAAAAATTATAATTGATCAATTATATAATACATATGATGGAAGGATATTGATTTAAACTTTAGCTTGAAATATTAGGGTGATTCATTAAACATAGATCAGTATTTATTGTTAACCTGAAATTTTTCTTCATTTTTTCATTTTACAATCTGGAGGCTAGTGCCTAACGAAATGATTAATGTTTTTACGGTAAAATTTTGTCAACAGTTTAACAAAAGCATTCAAAATGGGATATGTGGTATATATATTTTCCTAAAATGGGTCAAAGACAGAAGAGGCCGATTGCATTTGTATACCAAATATCATGATGCAGTAATGTTATTAAATTTTCAACCATTGACCATTGAGTCCTTAAACAGGAAGTGGATAAGCAACAGACCTCAAATCAATCCCTACAGTATTGAGCTATGTGGTTATGCTGTATACAAAATATAAAGAGGCTGCGATAAGTAGTTGCTGAGAAAACTGTTACGAAAATTTCCTACCGTTGACCATAAATGTCGAAACTTAAACTAAGTTGGCAAACAGGAAATGGATGAGCGACAGGTCTGAAATCTAATCCCACAATATGGGACCACGTGTTAATGTTGTATACTAAATATCAAGAGGCTGTGATAAGTAGTAGCAACATGAGAAAATTGGCCATTAATGTCGAAAATAATCTACAAACAAGAGGGCCATAATGGCCCTATATCGCTCACCTTAAGGAATATATCTTAAATGGATTTTTCTTATTTAAAACAAGCAACATGTTTATAAAATACTTTAATGTTATTTAGTTAGTGCCAAATGTAAAGTATTTTTGGCCAACAGCAACAGGAATGCAATCAAGTGTATAGAAATACCTCTTTTTTCTTTTCTTTAAAGTATACATAAAGTTGCTAAAAATACACTCCCTGTAGTGTGTTTACATCATGAAAATTTTAACAATGACATCATAATTAACAAGGCAAAGTACAAATTTGGATAATACTTCAATAAAAATGGGTCAAGGACAAAAATGGCCGGGTTGCATTTGTATACCAAATAACATGACTTATGAGTCTGTGATGTTACAAAATGTACTACCATTTACCATTAATGTTGAACATTTAACTAAGTCGGTAAACAGGAAGTGGATAAGGGATAGACTTGAACTTGGGACCACATATTAATGCAGTCACATTACCAATATCAAGAGGCTGCGTTATGTAGTTGCTGAGAAAAATGTTACGGAAATTTTCTTCTATTTACAATTAATGCCGAAAATTTAACTAAGTCATCAAACGAGAAGTGAATGAGCCATATACCTGAAATCAAATATCCATTGTTTTGTGACTACATGTTGATGCTGTATAGGCTGTGATAAGTAGTTGCTGAGAAAATTGTTTACGAAAAATTCCTACAATTGGACCATTTTTAACTAAAGTCAGTAAACATGAAGTGGATGAGTGACAGGCCTGAAAATCGAAACGCCCATGTATTGGAACAATGTGTTAATGCTGTATGATAAATATTAGAGGTTCTCTAGAGTAAGATGCTTAGAAACTTTTACCAAAAATGACCCAACCAATTCGCCTGCCTGCCTGGAAACAAGTATCTCCAATACATGATGGTAAACAGTATTTTTTTTGGCATATGATTATGTAAAATTTTCGGAAAACCCAGTATTATAGTTGTACTAGATATCCCATTTGATTTTTAAATATTAAAATTTTTTGATAAAAGTGTTTACTCAGGGTATCATGGTTGGGGACAGGATCTAACCCCCAAGCATCTGTGGTTTATCATATAAGGACACCCTTTCTACAAAAAACTTTCTTCCTTGTTCACATGAGTGGCTCTATACACAGGTTTAATCATAAAATTAAATCATGAAAATGTTAATAAAAAAACAACAACAAAAAACAGCAGGGATCTCAGGAAGGTCAGAATTTTCCGTGGCAGACTGTTTTACTAAAAATTTTCATGAGTCAAATAACTTTGAATGTGTTATTTTTCTACACAAACCATATTCATGTTTTCAGAAATTACTGTTTGGGAAGTCATTTAGAGTAGATTTTTTAGTTTAAATTGATAACTATTGTAAGGTTAGGCAATTATCAGCTTCTTGCTTAGTTAACATGATAAAGATAATTAAGTATTTCTAGCACCATGGATAATTACCATAATTATTGTTCCATTTTCACTTACATTTATTGAGGTGATTAACACATGTGTACATGGCAGGGAAAAGTTACAGAAACAGAAAATACTGAAAGAAAAAGTTGGGGCTCAGGGGCCGCTAGAACGCCCAGTGGGTCAGGGACACGCCTTGGCTAGGGGTCCAGGGACTGGAGGCCCTCGGAAGCTTTTGCAATTTAGTGAATTTAATACGCTCAAAAAAAAAAGGCTCAGATACATACTCAAGTGCTTTATTTTATCTTCAGATGTAATTATTCTGATATGTTAAAATTTACACAGAAATTCATCTGAGCAATACTTTTAAAAGCAATATATACACATTCCACATAACAAAATTATGTTCATTCTTTTTACTATTGTCAATTTTCATATTTTAAATTTAATCCTTTTCCATTGTCTTCCCACTTGTTGATGTAGTACACTCTCAACTGACTTGACAATTTTATCAGATGTGGAAACATTTTGAATTCTCTCTCATCCTAAATGATCCATTACTACTTGACTAGTTTTATCATCAAAGTACTGAAAGATTATATTCTGTACTTTGTTATTGCTTTTTGTTAGTTTGCCCCATATACATATTGAAAGATATTAACATTATCTTTCACTTTTTGACTTCACTCCTCGTTAACAGATTTGGCTACACCATGTTGTTTATAATAATAATGTACATTGCACTGGTTGGAGAAAGAGTAGTTTTTTCAAGAGCAAGGCTTGTCTCCAGCTAAACGTTTGGCAAGATTTAGATTAGAGATCGCCTGCTATGGAAAATGGGCAGACAATGTTCACTAAGAAAGGCAGTATATGTGATTGCTCTTTGTTTCGGGCAATGCGGTCTTGCATACTTTCAATCTTTTTGTGCACAGCTTTTGATGAGCCTGCAGTAACCTTGAAAAAGATAATTTTCAAAAAAAAGATGTATGAAAAAACATATCAAATAAAATATCACACTCATAAATTGTCAATTTAGTTTTTGAAACAAGGAGATAACAAACTAAAAAAACATAGATAAAGAAAATCGTGTTCTAAATCCTTAAAATAATATTCAGCTGGAAAAAATGTATTATTCAAGTGGTGAAAAAAATTAAAAGTCCAAATTACAAGTCCAGACCTATTAAAAAATTTGGGCATAGGTTCCCCTGCACAAGGCCATTTTTTAATTTGCCCCCAACCCTTGCCCAGACCACATGAAAGTTTGGGAAGACAGAAGAAAAAGAGGGCGGGGTAATGGTGCATTGTTTTATTAACTACACAATGCACAACTAAACCTCTTTTTCGTTTGCTAACACTAGATAGTGGCTAAACTACACAGAGAAATGATCTTACTTGGTCTAAGATTCTTTAGTGGTCCTCATCTTCAGCTCATCGTGATTAAGAAGCATCTTTCTTCTGTTCGAATTTGTCTAGTTGATCGTTTGGAACAAGACTTCACAAAAGCCCATTGCATTTGGTTCTTCAACCAAGTATCCATTTTTTCACCTTTAAAGTCCATTTCGCTAACCACTCCACCTCCATTTGTTTTTTTGCACCTTTTTTTAGATCGTTAGTATTAACACTTCACTGTTATTGTCATTGTATTTGTACATGTATGGTATTTTGACATCAAATGACTATGCAACAAACGATTTCATTGGCTTGGTAAAAAATAAGACGACCAATCAAATTGATCTTGTATAAAATTTTAATCTAGCTCAATTTTTCATCGGCAATCTCCGTATTGTAATTGTTTTGATTCGTATATTTGCCATTTTGTTGCAAACAGGTTCTGAGACGGACAAATTTATTTTAAAATCATATATCAAGCCTTATCAAGCAATGTTCACGGCTTATTAATGAGGCATTGCACAGACACCCTTCCCGATTTCTCATCGGATTTAAGTCATTCAGAAAATAACCTCGGACATCGCCGAAAATACGGAATTTTCCGTCATACATATAAATTTTAGAAATCATATCACCAGGAGGTGATATTTACATAAATACTAAATGTCATCCCTTAATACTTCACAGATTGTTAACACAATACCTGTTTCAAACGTAGCCCATCGATAATTGTATTCATCTTCACTTCTTTGTTTTGAAAATACGAGTTTATGTTACAAAATTTCTTTTTCTCAATTTCCCTTGTTCAAGGCCGCCATTTTCGTCCTACTTCCGGTCCCGGTTAGTTTTTGTAAATAGGTCAGATTGATACAGATGTTTTCTGAACAAAAAAATGTTGGACTCAAGACTGATTTGATATGCATTATTTAGTGATTTGAATTGTATGTTTATGATAAGAATGAAATATATAATGACATTTTTTAAAATCGTTCAACAGATTCAGTAAAAGAAGCGTACACAATGTTGAATTATATGATTATTCCCGCAAACCGGAAGGAAGAATTTAAGTAATATCCGTAC